TCATGATTTACATTCATACTCACAATTAGGAAACATACAATTCCTACCTTTTCTTTCTACTGTTGTGTCACCTAATATCTATAACGCATTTTTTTTTTTTAAATATTTCCCAAATGATAAGAAAGTCCTCACATCACTAAAACTAATCCATAAATGACATGCCGAAAAAGGAAGTCATGCATCAATTATAAACATTGCACTGACAATGAAACTAATTCTTGAATAGGACATTTGAGCCTTGAGCACTTTACAATATTCTAAGTTTGTAAGAGAATGATAATCCCTTACTTCATGATAAGTACTCGCTAACGCTCGTACTTATTCATGAAGAAAGGGATTATCATTCTCTTACATATACATGTTATCGTGTCCAACGATGCATTGATAAATCTCAGATCACAATTAATTGGTTAACAAAATACAAATATAACACTTCTACCTTTAAAGAATTTTATATTACCAGGCATATGAATATTATCTGTTTATACAAAATAAGACATATTCAAAATTACTTCTAATAAAATTGAAAATGGAAATGGGGAACGTGCCAAAGAGACAACAACCCGACCAAAAAGCATATATAAAGTATATATAATAAGTATGTTATCGAAATTTTTCTAGCACTCTAGGCACATCACGATTTTCTCGCATAGGAATTTGCGAACAAACCTTTGTAAAATTATGTAGTAAAACAAATGAAATCATACTATATTTATAAAACAAAAATTGACAAATAGAATGTAATCATTTTTGTTTCAAACATGTGAAATAGCCAATAATAATAAAAAAACCCGGTAAAACTCGCTATTATTACAAAAATATCCACTATAACTTGCAAAATTAGAAAAAAAAACTAGGATAACTTAAGAATTGGTACAACAAAGAGAATACAGGGATTCGAACCTAAACCGACAAATCCCGATCTTTAACTCATTGATTTTAACCATGCTAACCTCGCGGCTACCAACTCATACTATACGACTGCCTATTGTGTCTATATAAAGGTACAAGCCCTGTGTGTCCGATGAACCGATGTATATCAGATGTTCATTTAAATATATATAATAAACATCTATAGTGTAACCCATTGGTAGCCGAGAGGTTTCGTCGGTGTGTTGATGTCAGTCACACATAACAGATTTCAAGGAAGGGTTCGATTCCCAGTGAAGGTATATAAAAATTACAAAAATTAAAAGTAAGTTTTTAAATTAATTCCATTAGTGAACAGAAATCAGTAAATTAGCCTATTTAAACTTAATGAAATTAAGCACACAAAGGAAACAATTGAATATAATTTGGTGAGTCAATTTCAGCGGCAGATTTAGGAAGCGTTGATTCTAGAAAAAGAATCCACGGTAAATGAATAGGCTGACGTCACCACAATGGTTTAAATTTAAGATAACCAACCGAAAATATGTAAAACTGACATGAAATTTTGGAGAGTATAGTGCTGTTTTGCAAAAACTGAACGTTTTCTTCCAACCACTGCAAAGTGCTTGACGTTAGCTAATTGAAAAGCGCGAAACTTCTTAAGAACGTGACGTGAACACCATTATGACGTTATGTAATGTCAAATAAATAACGTTATTTTTTGAAAAAATAAACATCTTGACTTTATATCTTAGTAATTCTTCAATTATTTAAGCTAACATGTTGTGATTCAAGACTCAGGATAAAATTCGAATATCACGGCCCAGGCCATGTGTAAATTTCCAACAAATCTATGGTTTCCATGAATTATTTCTTAAATTTGCGAAAAATGCGGGAAAATTGTACTATGAAGTCAGATTCAGTTTTTTGAAGAAAGACGATTCTTTTCTTGAAAACAAAATAATAAAAAAAAAAACATACAAATTACTCATAACTTTTTTCAAAAGGTCGGTGACGTATACTTCTTATGGCTTTATTTGAAAGAGTACACAAAGCACTATCCTTCTTGAAACTTTTATGACCGAGAAATCACTGGTAAATATTTTTAAATACTGGAAACGTGTTTTCATTATTACGTCTTATTTTTGGCGGGAATGAAATAAATCATACTTTTAAGATCAAAACACCAAAAATCTTAAACTCTAGAATCGTTAATTGATAGATACACGTCTACAGTTTAACGTGAAAAAGTGTTATGCTTGTAGGTTCGATTTTAATGGATTATTTGAAATTTTAAAATAACAACCAAATAATGTTCATATTGGGGGGGAAAAAAACGAAGTTGGTGACCCCCAATTTTTTTCAACATATTTTGTTTCCAAAATCATGAAATATCTTCATACATGTACACAATTTTAATAAAAAATCACTGGTAGAACTGAATAGGCTGTTTGGTCTAAATGTTACCCTACGTATATAACCGGACGAATTATTAGAAAAAATAGAATTGAACATTTTAAGCAATAAATGCTATCTTTACTAATTCATTTTTGGAATTCGTTAGACTTTCACTCAAAAAGCATTATCAAATCCTTCTGATTTTATTTAGTTTGTGAGCGAGTCGGCTGAATTGACTCTATTTGATGAAAATGAATAAGATTCCTGCTGTGAAAATGCACCGCATATACAAAAGAAATAAATCGCCCCTACAGTGAAAATGAAAGTATTGTATCATTATTCGACATGAAAACATGAATCGAATAACGAAAGCAGCATATCAACAAACTGAATGGCAAAACCTGTTTTAGGTTGTGCAACATTAATGATTATGTTAAAAGGTATACTTTTCTGAAAAAAAAACTTTACTGCTGCTTTTAAATCTTCTGCAAGCTCTGTTTGTGAAATATTCTCAATATGTAACTATTTGTTTACCGATTTCACACCTGCATGGCTGAAGGCGTGATATAAACCCATTTGTATCTCTTGCATGTGTCATTAATTTATTAAAATAATATGCAATTGATAATTATATCTTATTTTATTCAGAAATCATCAATTTTTCGTCTGTTTATTTATCATTCAACATTAGAAATACATGACAGATACAGTAAAAACTATATTTCAGGATTCGCACTTTGTATAGACTGGTCTTTCTAAACAATTATTGTTACATAATAAAATTTAACGTTCTGACATCATACACGCAGGACAAAGGGCAAAGTTCTCTTTCGGCCAAATATGACCTTGAAATTTAACTTTATCATAAATTATCAAAATAGCCATAATTTGATTCTTAAATGGATATATTTCAAAAGCCTAACTATTTGGTTAGATAAATCTCTAATGTTCATTAGAGTATATTGTAGGCTTCAGAGTTAGCACATTTTGGGTATATTGTCAAAAAACTATCATTTTGTGCATTTTTGGACCTAAAAGCTAGAGAAAATCCTTGGCCGCAACCTAGGATCCAAAATGTTTTGTAGCCAAAAGTTGCCAATGATGACATTGAAATCCTAGACAAAAATAAACTCTGGATCCAGGGTGGCGGCCAAAGTAAATTATGCTAAAAAGTGATAAGAAGTATTGAAAATTGGACCAAAACTGACGTTACAACACAAATAATGCATACTTGAGGTGTAATTTCGTTGTTATTTTTAATGTGGTGTCCCAAAAAGAAGCGATTGTGTTTTAATAGTTATATCACAAATATTTCTATGTAAAATTTGAGGTGTTTTGGCCTAATAAAAAAAAACATCAAATTCTTAGGGCCAATTTAAACCCTTCGTAAACCGGTGAAGGTGAAACAATGATAACTTCGTCCAATCGACTCAGTATTATAGTTAGTTTACTTATGTAAAAATTGAAAGATAGAACAAACACTTACTTATCTTTAACAGCTTTCAGGTAGTAATGTCGTCTGCACTAAATCGATGTTTTCTGTATAAAGGTATATAACTTATAGGTTTTGTAAAAAGTTTTATGTTTGAATTGAGAATGCATGACTGAACTTTAAAGAGAAGTTTCAACATAAATAATTAATGCTCTATAGATTTAGTTCTTCGATTTTTAAAAATCAGGTAACCGTATCAAACGTATAATATCTGAAATGTTATTACTAATCCATAACTGTTATGCTTCGCATGCTTCCGATGTTAGAGACATGCATCATTACAGACTCTAAAGCAAAACCTTTAAAAATTTAAAACGAATAGAAGGTATAATAATAGGTAAATCAATGTTTGGTCATTTGAATTTGAAAATCAAAAAGTTTACTATATGTATAATAAATTTTCAAAACTAATCAAAACGCATATATATACATATAGCTGGCTTTTCAACAGTACAAAAGTTACCATACACTTCAGTTGGCAAAAAGATTGCACAACTAAAGACCATTGCCTACTTCTTATTTCATTTTCTTAAATTCTATGAACACTTAAGAACAATCACTTTATTATCCATTATAACATTGTTTTGGAGACAAAGAAGTAAGGTAATTTAAACCCCGTACTACAATCTTTAATCAAATTAAATAAATTCTAAAACCAATTTTATTGCAACTAGTGTAAAATATATTTCCTGAAAAAAAAACCAAAGAATTCACCAGTGATAAAAACGGCCTGGTGTTTCTCATATCAATCGAATAAACATGTATAGTGTTACTTTGAGGCAAAACTACACAAAATATACAACATGCATGAAGGTTTGGATTGGGGTCTTCATTTATATCCATATATAGATATAAAAAGATGTGGTATGAGTGCCAATGAGACAACTCCCCATCATATATAAGTAAACAGAAAGATAATTTATCATAGAAGTCCAAAGCAGTCGTTGATATATTAAAATTGAGAATGATAATGGGGAATGTGTCAAAGAGACAACAACCCGACCATAGAGGAGACAACAGCCGAAGGCAACCAATGGGTCTTCAATGCAGCGAGAAACTCCCGCACCCGGAGGCGTCCTTCAGCTGGCCCCTAAACAAATATGTATACTAGTTCAGTGATAATGGACGTCATACTAAACTCCAAATTATACACAAGCATACTAGATTCAAATATAATTATCTTCATAAGCAGAAGCCTGGTAAAAATAATATATAAACTGAAGGTCGATCAAACACTTACAAATTCAAAACTGTTTTTAGATAATTCCTTCAATCCTTCAGATTAAATTTAATGATGTTTGATTGTCGTTATGATATATGTGTGAAGAAGGTATACATCTTTACTTCAATTTCATTTTTTGATGGCAAGTACACAAATTCTAAAGCAGTTTTAAAATTGTGTATCAAATTAAAATTACTTTACCCTGAATCAATTGATAAACAAGTTTTTAATGTGTTTAAAATTCGAAATTCTCTGCTCTATAGAGTTCGCATAGTTAGATTTAATAAAATTAATTCATTAAAACAAATGTACTGTATCGATTGAAAATTTGAGATGTCATTTTGCTACATACTTCTGTAATAGTTATACACCGAGGGATAGGTGTGTCTGGATAAGAAACTCCGTCGGCCGGAGGGGTTTCTTATCCAGACACGCCGTATCCCGAGGTGTATAACTAACTTACACCCCATTATAAACCCTATATTTGTTAACATTGATTATTAAACAAAAAAAAAGAAAAGAAAACGATAGCATATTTATTGATAATATCAAACCATGATTTATGAAAATATTTTTTAATTACACGAAACCCCGCTATTAACCTTTCTTTGGTTATCTTCGTTCAAACTTTGACAAGTGAGTATATTTTACAAATGTCAAGTTGTTTTGCATAGTCCCGTTAAATCCTGTGCTAATATGGATCAGCAGGTCAAGGTTGACTGTTTCGTGTATTCTTATTACAAACAAAAAATACATCATGCTCCGGGTATACAGTTGTCAATATGGATGGGTATAAGACGGACGACATTTTGTGGCAAGCGTTGGATTTGGTAAAAGAGACTAAAGGTATAGGCAATATTATAACCCAAAGTACTTACTTGTAACAGTTTAATAAAGGTAATCATAACTGTATTTTATATCTTACGATTTTATCAAAAACCAAAGCCCCCCCCCCCCCCCCTTTGCTCTTCTCGAGAATAAACAAACATTCATATTCGAACATACTAAGGGATAGGTGTGTCTGCATTAAAAACCCGACTACCAGACACAATATTGCATATAAAGGAACTCCCTTTTGGGGGGGCAATCACAGGCTGATCCCGCGGGTTCCCAACTCAAGATAAAAAGGGGGTCCAACCATTCAAATGCATTGATCTATTAAAAAAAAGTCGGGTCCAATCCGCGGAACCCCCAACCCCGGATCGGCTACTAGGTAACCGTGGGGGGATACCGAGAGACATATGACTGGGATAAAAAAAACTACCTTTAAGCAAAATTTGTAGTGAACACTATTAGTAATTTCTTATGTTCAAACTATTAAAAAATTAATCAATTTCTATTGTTACGAATAACAATGGGCTTTGTTTGCGGGATGTAGAAGCAGGGGTTTCTAGAAATCCCGCTCGTCACACCCTGTGGTCAAAATCCATTGTTATTCGTAACAATAGATCTATTCAATTTACACATGTTTCAGAAATAGAAACTATGAAGTATAACAATAGAACTGGGGCGTAACAAACTGTTCGCATGCTATGTGTGGTAGAAACACGCATTAATCTGTAAAATTTAAAAGAAAATTTCATTAAAAAACCTACTACAAGCTACCATGTAGACAAATTTTAAACTAATTTCATTGCAAGTTTATATACATTTTTTTTAAAAGAGCAAAGAATTATTTAAAGTATAATTTGAAATTTGTGTTCAAATAGGCTGTTATATATATACATTTTTTTAAAAGAGCAAAGAATTATTTATAGTATAATTTGAAATTTGTGTTCAAATAGGCTGTTAGAAATTACTGCATTCGTTAATCAAAACGGCGAGTTGAATACTTCTTTTGTCGATATACAAAACAACCCATTACATTGTTATTTCAGCAAATCTGTCATTATAACTTGACAGGATGTTTTCTTTCAGAATGTACTATAGATACATATAACGGACTGCAATAAATTTTGATTCACTGCAATTTTCATTCTTAAAATGGATTGTTTTGAATCATTGCAAAATGGCTAAAAGTTTATGTTTTTTCGCTAAAAACCTGTGTTTTAAATTTAATGTATGATTACTTACATATATCTTTTTAAATAACCATTTCATAAAAAGAAGCAATTCGCATCCATGTTGAAAAACCTTAATTTCTTTTGTGCCAGAGAAACTGCATTCAGCTTTTCAATAATTCAGCTGAATACAATTTATCTATTAAAGAAATAAGATAAGAAAATTCCGAACTGGTTTAGTATCATCCTGCAATAAAAAGAAAAGAAATAACATCTTTGCTATAAATTTAGCATTCCCTTTTTATATATAATACACAATACATTTATATATTAAAACTAAATTTTTAGCCTACCGAAAATTTTAATTCAAAACTCTTACGGCTAAAATTTTAGCTGCCAAAAAAAAAGATTCAATCTATGAAACTAAAATTTTAGCATTCTTCGAAATTTGAACAAGTTCTTATAATATTAAAGTTACATGATATAAAATGCTAAAGTTTTAGTTTTTTACGAAATTGTATGATGATACAGTAAATGTAAAATATTTCACATATGAGGTACGTGTTATGTATATTATGTCTCAGGGGCAGATTAGGGAGGGGGTAGATTCCTGGAACTTATGCTTTGACCCCCGTTCCCCCTTATGAAAATGGCTGGATCTGCCCCTGTATCTTGATTTAAGAATACTAAGTAACACAGGTACTTATTTACATGTAGGTTTCAAAGAAACACAATAGCTGCATTTGCATATTTGTGACACGGTATTATCGCTAAATGTTTGTTATCATCCTCCTTTTGTATACTTCAAATTCATATTGTATACTAGGCAGTACTGTTTATTATATGTTGTGTCCACATATATTATACGTCGTTTAAAAACAATATATAAACCATTAAGATTAAGTCAAGACAAACCTAACGAGGAGTCAGTTTGGCTTTGGACAGGCGATTGAAGATGTCCAAAATATGAATAAAAGAATACTTGAAAAAAATGTATAATAATCAACAATTGACAGAGCTGTTTGAACATATATATCAGCTATAGAACTTGTACATGAGCATATGGGTCCAGTAGATACTTTGTTTACATTTTCTCATACAAACAGATAGATAAACAAGTCAAATATAAGGAAATACTCACGTAAAAGATTCCTGATGTTTCCTCCTGTTTTGGTATGATTCTTTCTCTTAATAAAATTCTCATTGCAATTTATAAAACAGACAAATTTGATGTTTTTGCCATTTAACTATAAATAAAATATAAATTTGCGCCATTTTGAAGTCTTCAAAATTCTTTATCTTTCAAACGCTTTAGACAAAGGATAAATCAAGGACTTTTCAAACGTTCAGGTGAGTTCAGCATTAAAAGCGCTTTTATGTTTTGACTTTTGTCTCCTAAATGCTTGAATAATTGTATGACCTTTATATTATTTGTTTTTAAATGGTGTTTCAACAAAGGAAGCAATTATAATATATTTCCAATTTAATTTTTAATAACTGTTCTGATGTTAATACTTGATTTATTTCACTTGACTGGCGGTGTTTAACCGGTTTGCTCATCATGGACCAGTCCGTATATATACAGGTGTTTTTTTGGATAAATTCATCAATTAGTGTTCAGCTATTTGTCCCATACTAGTATCATACCGTCAGCTCTTTTGTATATCCGTTTTGTGACACTGATAAGTGATTAGAAATCAATTATAATTGTAACGGAAATCATCCTTATTGCACACATCTTCAAAAAGACTGTCCATATGCAAATTAAAGCGTAAGATCAGTTGAAATTACATTGGTAATAACATATATCATATCGACTTTTTTTATAAACCATGCCAGCAAAAAAAGGAGTTTTGATTCTGCAATTCCTTCAAATTCTCTTCAATTGTCCAATTATAAATATTTAAATAAAAAAAACCTAAGATTTCAAGTCCACCAGGTGCAGCTGACCGTCAACTATGTTGTCTTATTTTTTTGTTCTTTTGGTCGAATAGCTCTTCAACTGTTTCTGTTGGTTTTTTTTACATCCTCGTCTTTCAAATATAAGGCTCTGAGCGTAAATGATTAAGATCAACCCGGAATAGCGCTTTGGACGCATGCGATATATACCTTATTTTCATTTTTTCTAACTATTGCAGAGATTTTTGTTGTCAACGGTTATCTTAGTCTGACCTCAGTCACAAACTGTTTTTATAAGTGCTGTTATATGAAATATATGACACAACGCAGAAGAGGATATAAGGTAAACTGTTTGGCAAAAGAGGGGCGAAAGATACTAGAGGGACAGTCAAACTCATAGATCGAAAATAAACTGACAACGCAATGGCTAAAAACGAAAAAGACAAACAGACAAACAATAGTACACAAGACACAACATAGAAAACTAAGACTAAGCAACACAAACCCCACCAAAAACTGGGGGGTCTCATGTGCTCCGGAAGGGTACGCAGATCCTGCTCCACATGTGGCACCCGTCGTGTTGCTTATGTTATTTCAACAAACCTGGTAAATAGTCTCATTCGGTAGGTCACATTCACGAAAAGGGAAGGGGATTGTAGTAACCACGTAAGGAACATATCTGATACCATCTGTGAAACTGTTCATCCATAGCGGTTATTAACCAGCTCTTGATATCGTATCAATTTGGAGATATATACTCCGTATGCAGGCGCTGCTGGAATGTTGCTACTTAGACCCTCATTGTCAATGTGTAGATGTAAGTCAATATATGAGGCCGACTTAACTGTATCTGTTGTATCCTTTATCTCGTGTTCGATGGGATGGATGCGTTCAACATAGTCACAATAGCAATTGCAATAGTGGACAAAATGATACAGTAGTATGTGTTAACTCGTGCAAAGTCGTGATTTTTGGAAGGAAATACCGATGCTTCCGAATGTATATATAATATGCATGATTATTTATTTGTAATTCCGATTTTTCCACTTAAGCATGTTAAGCTCACTTTCTCATTCATTGGTGTAGGAAGAATGTCAACCATTAGAGAAAAGTCCGAAACAAAACAAAAAAAATAAGTCGACATTTCAAAATCAGAGATCAAGCAGAAGCCGCTGAAGAAGCATCCACAAAGCACTCCAAAGACGCATTGTTTATGAAATGTGATGCAAGTTCTCCATGCTATCAATGCT